TGGTAGAACCTGCTCAAGAACAAGCTATTGCAGATGTATGTTAAGCGGCTGCACTCACGCTGCCTTGTTGGCATGGCCTCTCGCCTCAAGGCGGCTGCGGGGGCTCCCAGGTCCTCTGCTCTCGTCCAGCGCGCCTGGGCTACAACGCCTCATGCGGACTGCTGTGCTGTGCACGTACAACTTGTTGTTAAACTGCTGACTCATACTAGCTCACTGAGCGGCTAGCAGGCTCCATGTACACACAAACAACCTTTCCACGCATCCTTTTGCCACCATGGCCAACGTAATAATATTCAAACCAAATGCCCACAACGGTCAAATTCAAATCCGTTCTTATGGCGCATAGTATCAGCTTATGTAACAGTGGCTGAGCCCGTGGGGAACAGGGGAGGTGAGAGGGACATGGGACCACGGTCAATGAGTCAATGGTGTGTTGCCATCCCCTCTGCCGGTCGATGCAGGGGCTGACGACTTGCAATGGAGCCTGGCAGCGTGCACTATCATAGTTCGCACGAGACATCCGCCAGCTAAATTCAATGTTGAAACGGTCTTGGGCACTGGCAGCGCAGCGGGCGCGCAGGGAATGGCGCACGCACACTGCTCGTGCTGGTTGCCAGTGCACAGGTACCGCGCCTACCTGTGTCAGCATGGCCCGTCACCGTGCCGTTGCCGGTATCCTCAGCACATCAACACGGGAAAAACCTTTAAAAATCGATCCTTTAGTAGCCAGACGCGTTGGCAGCAGGTTCGGTACGTGTTTCAACGGTGCGACTCGCGATCGCAGAATTTGGGCACCAATTAAGACTCGAGCGTATTTAAGAACCCGATCTCGGTGCGTTTGACGGCGGGGTGCAGCTGTTCACTTGGCGCTGTGGCCGCCGACACACCCGTTGCTGAGTTGCGGTCCCCCCAGCGAACGGGTTTGCCTACGTGTAACCAGCCCGTCCGTCCACAGAGCGAACACAGATTTGCATTGCAGCAGCAGCAGCAGCAGCGGCAGCGGCAGCAGAAGCAGCGGCACCGGCAGCGGTGGCAGCAGCAGTGACAGCAGCAGCGGCCATCGCATAAAGCTGCGCTAGCACACAGGGGTGGCCACCCCTCCACCGCCGCCGCCGCGGGCGCCCTCGTGGCAGGCGGCCTGCGGCCGTTGATGGCGACCCCCTTGGAGCCCCCAAGCTCGCCGCACCGCCGCGTGCCGGACGCGGCACGGCTCCCGCCCAGCTGCGCCGGATCCCAGCGCCCGGCCCCCCAACCTGCGGCCGCACCCGGGCGCGGCCACGGCGGCGGCGCCCTGCCGGCGGCTGCCTCGACGGACTCTTGGAAGCGGCAGAGGAGCGTTTATGATGACACACCGGCCCTGTCGGCATTGAAAAGCAGCAGCCTGACGGCAGGCAGGCACGGGCCCGACGAGGGCACCGAGCCGCTGCGAGCTGGGCCGATGTCGGCGCCCGATCTGCGGCGGCTTGACGCCTTAGGCGCTGGCGGCAGCTGCGCCTGGCCGCACACGGACGCGGCGGCGCCGCATGAGCAGGAGGGCCCGCGCAGCCGCGGGGCGGGCGGCGGCAAGGGCGGCGCGCTGGCGCCGCGGCGGCCGCTTCGCTGCGCCCTGGTTGCGCTGGCGCTTGTGCTAGCGGCGGGCGCGGCGGCAGGCATTGCATGGGGTGAGCGCGCCTGCGTGTGCACGATCTAGCCGCGCAGAGGCACTGCACACCTTTCAGGCGCCCGGGCCCTGGCTGTCGCACACCGGTGCCATGCCGCTGCTGAGCACAGTTCTCCCATCTTGTCACCTGTACCTGCTGCACCTGCGATCCTGATTGTAAGTTGCCGTGTACCTGCACTGGGCAGGCCCCCCTCTCTCCCGCTCCACCCACCCACTCATCCCATGCCCACTAACTGCAGGCGTCCTCCGCGCCCAGCGCTCCCCCTCGGCCACGCCGCCCCCCGCCGCGCCAGCGCCGTCCGCCCCCGCTGCCGTCGCCGTGGCTGGGGCTGGGGCGCCGCCCGAGTCCCTCGAGTGCCAGCAGCTGCGCGTGGAGTCTTTCGCGGCGCCCTGGACCGACCCAACAAGCGGCTTAGTTGTCCTCAACGGCACTGTGAGGCTGGCGAGCAGTGCTCCATACCTAGTGGCTTTTGAGAGGGTTGGCGTGCGCCTGTGCAGGTGCGGGGCGCGCGCGGCCGCCCGCCCGCCCGGTTTGCCCATGCAGCTGCTTCGCGCAGCGATGCGAAAGCGCTGCATTGAGACGGATGGCCGCGCGCAGCAGCAAGTCATCGCGTTTTGTTTGCTTTTGCATTTGGCTCCTCCGGCTTCCCATCTAGCTTCAGTACGAGCTGGCATTGATGAGTTGAGGCCACGGTGCTCAGTCATATGTTTTTGTTCTTCCTTGCTGGGGGCTGCTCGTTGAACTCAGCCGCGCCAGTGGAGTGCACTTGCGACAGGAGGCGAGCTGCGGGGCGCAAGAGGTGCCGGCGCACGGCAGCGTCAACTGCAGCTGGAGCGTGGCCCTGCCGGCGCCGCCCGACAATGGCGCGCGGCTGAGCGCATGGTCGGGGCTTACCAGGTGTGCGGGTGTCGGGATGAGTAAGTGACTATGTGCTTGTGCTTGTGTGTATATGTGGCTGTGTGCGTTGTTGCGTGTGTGTGATCGTCTGTGGGAGGGCGCGCCGTGCACGGGGTGCTTCTGCTTGCACCCCAAGTCGCTCCCAAGCCGCCAACTAGCACGGGCAGCACGGCGGCGACAGCGCCGCACCTCACCGCGCCCCGCGCCCTCGTGGGCGTGCAGTGCCTCCGCCTTCGCCTTTGCACGCCCGCCGCGCTTAGCCGGTCCTCCCTGGCTCAAAATCCCCTTGCCGCCCTCGCGGCCCCCTGATCCCCTGGCTCCCGCAGCTCTGTGCGGCTGTCTCTGAGCGGGGAGCGCTGCGCCGGGCCTGTGGTGGACCCCAACACAGGCGGCCCGGGCACGTGCGACGGCAAGCCCTGAGTGCCGCTGCGCGGAGTCGGGCCCGCATGCCGGTCGCGGTCGACCGTGTTGTGTTGAGTTGTCAAACTGCTTCTTGAATAATTCTCGGTGTGTTGTGTGGCATCCCAACGACACCCTGCTCCGTGATTCCTACCTTTCTGCCGAGTGTCCACCACCCAGCGTGCTGTGCACCATGTTACTTGGTGGCACCTGTCGAATGGAATCCACACACCGTCTGCAGAGGCTGCAAAGCACCTGCCCATCCCCTGAAATTTTATGAGTGTGCTATATGCCTGTTTTTACCTGCTTGGTGGCAATTCTCAGGCCCAGCCATCTGGTCCTGGCTGGGGCCTTTATGGTGGATTTCAACCCCTCTGTCCAGGGTGGCGCACAGGGAACCTGACATGGCACATGTTTGCTGTAATGTGGCATTGAATCTGTTCATGTGGGTCTCATGGGAGCACTGCGGTGTGAGGGGTTGACCAAAAGCGCGGTCATGTGGGAGGTTGTAGAGGGGGCTGTCCCCATTCTGAAAGCAGAGGTCGCCCAGTGCAAACTCTCGACATGCCAGTGGGCTCAAAGCATCATAGCTACCCCATTGCTGTGACCACACCGCCGCTGGCCCCGTCTGCCTTGTTCGGTCTACCGCGGATGGCCACTCCAGGCGCCACGTGGTGATCGGATTCACGTCGCGGCATGCATGGTAGGACGGAGTTCCTTTTAGTACCTATTGTATTCAAGGTGCTGACTACAGCGCTGCAACATCTGCGCTTCTTTGCCGACGCACCGCGCGCACTCGGCGGCGGGCCGACGGTGCTGCTGCTTGTGCTGAGCTACATGCACACTGGATCATCAAGCACTGTTACATAGACAATAGATTTGCGTGAGCAATTTGTTGATTCGCATCACACATCGTCCCCCTTCAGCTCTGAGCGCGGAGTGCCTGTATCTGCAAAAAGACGCACCCACACAGGGCCTCGAGCCCGTGCGGACGCACGCATGGACTTGCTAGGAGGCTACGGATCAGAGGATGACAGCAGCCCGCCCCCAAGCCCTCCAGCAACGCGCGGCGGCGGCAGCGGCGTCGCAACAAGCAGCGCTCCACGCCTGCTTGCCAGCATGCCCGCCCCCAAATCAGCAGCACCCGAAGTATCGGGAGCTTTGCAGACAAACAGCGGCGCCGCACGCGGCCTGCCAGCAGGCTTCTTCGACTCTGGCGCTGAGCCAAGCGCGTCGGGGCGAGCAGCAGCTGCACCCCCCGCCCCCGTCGGTGGGGGCGGCGCCTCCCTGCCGGCCGGCTTCTTCGACGCCGCGGCCGACCCCCCGCCGCCGCCGCGCGCCCCGGCCGGCGCCGCCGACGTCGGTCCCGCGCTGCCTCCGGAGCTCGCGCGGCGGCGGCGGTTGGGGCCGGGCGCGGGTGACACGTCCGACCTGCCCGCCCCCTCGGACCCCGAGCTCTTTTCAAAACTGCCAGCCCCAAAGGCCGCCCCCCGCGCCGGCGCCGCGGCGGGCGGCAAGCGGCGGGTGCTGCTGAAGTCATCCATAGACCTGGCCATGCTCCAGGGCGACTCGAGTGACGAGGAGGGCGGCGCTGCCGCAGCCAAACGCGCGAAGACAGCGGCGGCGGGCGGCGCGCGGCCGGGCACGGGCGCTAAGCACGAGATACTCGGCTTCCTCCCTGCCCCCAAGCACGACGCCGCCCCCAAACGCAGCGGCGCGGGCGGCGGCGGAGGCGACGGGGTGCAAGAGGCGATGCGGCGGCGGGAGGAGAGCAGGCGCGCCGCGCAGCAGGGCGCCGAGGCGGCGGCGGCGGCGGGGCCGGTCGGCAACGAGGCGTTCAGGGTGGCGCCTGGGCCCGCGCCGGCGCCGCAGGCGCCGGCCCCCGGAGACGAGTACCGAGTGCAGGGGCCGCCCGCGGCGCACCGCACGCAAGGCGCGGCGGCGGCGGCGGCGGCGGCGGCGTCTGCACCAGCAGAAGCTTATCACTACCCCCAGCAGCAGCACTACCAGCAGCAGCAGCAGCAGCAGCAGCACCACAACCACTACCAGCCGCAGCAATGGCACCAGCAGCAGCACCAACACGCCCACGCCCACGCCGCCGCCGCGGGGCCGGCGGATTTCCAGGGCATGAGCCTGGAAGAGGCGGCGCTGCAGGCGGCCCTCCAAGAGGAGGCCGACCGCGCGGCACGCCGCGGCGCCGGCGGCGCGAGTGCAATGGCTGCGTCCATCCAGTTCCAGGAGGTGGACGCGTCGCGGCTGAAGCACGTCGACCCCGCGCGGCGCGAGGCGAACGAGGGCATGCGGGCCGCGCTGGGGACGGGCTACGCGGCGGCGCTGCGGGCGCAGGCGGCGCCGTTTGAGGGGGACAAGATGGCGAAGCGGAAGCACCAGATCGGGACGCTGTTCCACAACGCCAAGATGAAGGAACTCGAGATCCTGGAGAACAGGTGGGGGGGCTGGCGGCGATCGGAGTGTGGGTTTAGGGTTCCAAGGCTGTGCGTGTAGCTGTGCTTGCGTGAGGGGAATCGTGCGTGACCGCCGCCGCGGTGGTCGCGGGGCGGCGCGTGTGGCAGCGGGGCGGGGCCCGGCCCCACGCGGCCGGCGGGGGTCTTCGGCGGGAGCCTTCAGGGGCCGCGGGTCTGGCGCGCCCGCTGGCGCTCGCTGCGGCCAGCAGGCGCGGCGCAGGGCGGCTGGAAACAGAGCAGAGCGTGGGCCGACCCGGCTCGGCGGCGCGCTCCGACCAGCTCCACCGCACCTGGCGCTCGCAGGGCGTCGGGCATGAAGAGCAAGGCGGAGACGCAGGGCAAGTACGGCTGGTAGGCGGCGCGGCGCGGCGGGGATGCTGCGGCGGCGGTGGCACAGGGCTGCTGTCCGGCATTGTCGCCGGTCGGAGCTGCACTGCTGGCAAACCATGTTTCTCGCGTTGGGATTGCTTCACTTTGCCCTGGTGTGCTGTGCGACTTTGCCCAGTCAACGGTCACACAACAGCCATGTAAGCGCTTTTGCATGTGAGGGTGGCATGCGGCAATATATTCAGCCCTCTATGGTGAGTCTGCCAGAGCGTGCGGGAGCGGCTCGACAGGAGGCCTGGCTCGACGTTGACATTCAGAGGAGTAGTGCTGGGCGTCAAGCGCAAGCGGCGCATGGCAGGGCAAGCCTTCTGCTACGAGCTGCCAATGGGGTACTCGCAAATGGGCTGCTTTACTTTCATGAGCTTATTTATCAGTCGCTCTTTTGAAAGAGAACGCTTCGGATCGCATCGTCGTGCTGCGTTGATCTCCCCGTGAACCTTGTGCGCCTACACGCGCGTGGATTTAATCTTTAAACAGCACTCCAGCTCCTCAAGCGCTTTCTGTCAGCCGCTTTAGCTGCTGGCACGATGGGAAAGCGGCGGCGGCAGGACAAAGAGGAGGCGGCGGCTACACAGGACAGCGACAGCAGCGAAAGCGAAGGCAGCAGCAGCGACAGCGACAGCGCCAACAGCAGCGACAGCGAGGCCAGCTCGAGCGGCCGCGGCAGCGACAGCGACAGCGCCGGCGGCGGCCGCCGCGGCCGCGCGCCCCCCGCCCGCCGCGTCGGCGTGCCGGTGCGCGTCCTGCGCCAGTCAGGCGCGGCCCCCGACGCGAGCGCCCCCTACGTTGGCTATTTTGCAAACGGCCGGCTGCCCGCATTCGCCAACGAGCGCGGCAGTGGCGAGCCCTGGCGGTTCCAAGTGTTCGAGACGCCGGGCCCCGTGCCGCAGAGCACGCTGGTGTCCGAGCAGGTGCGGCCGCGCCCGCCCGACACGCGCCCGGGTGCCGGCCCGCTCACCCGCTCGCCGCGCCCCGTCCCCCGGCCTGCCAGCCGGCCTGTTCCCCCTCACGCCATCCTCCCTCATCATGCTTCGCGGCCGCAAGGACTGGCAGCATTCCATCCGCGGCGCGCTGCGCTCGCCAATGAGCGCCGCCTGCGCCCCGGCCTGACCGCCGCAGGGGGCCGCGACCCTGATAGGGCGCCCCGCGGACCCGGAGCTGTCGTCACATGGGTGCCAGTATGTGCTGGGTATATATGATAAGGAGGAACGCACCCTGCAGGTTGGGGCTTCTGCAAACATGGGGATCTACATAGTGTATAGAGGCGTGCATACAAGTCGTGTGTGTCTGTATGTGTGTGTGTGCATGAGTGTGTGCGTGAGCGTCTGCATATCTGCACTTACGTGCATGCGTGCGCCTGCGCGTTTGCTTCCATGCGTGCATGTCTGCAGTGGCATCTCCAGCACGCCGGCCGCTGATGACCAACCACACTTTGCCTCATACTTCGCTGACACCGCCGCCCCAAAGGGGCGCGGCTGAGGATAACCGTGGAAACTGAGGCCAGACCCCCGCACACACACACACACACGCACACACACACACACACACACGCACGCACGCACGCACACACGCACGCTTGCATGTGTACTGCTCAAGCACATCGCGAGCGCGCTCCTTCCCTTCCTGCTGCAGCGGGTGCACCCGCTCGACCTTGGCCGTCAATCCAATCCATCGCACCAGTGGCAGCAACCATTCTGGGCATCAACCCCCATGTTTCGCCCGCCTGACGCGCTCCCCCTGTCCCCCAACCTCGGCCCGGCCCCCCCTCCGCCCTCCCAGCTGGTGGGCGCGCAGGGCAGCCAACTGGCGCGCGTCGAGGCGCACGTGAACGGCGTCAACTATGGGTTGGCCGCGGGCGCGTCGCGCCGCGACGCGCAGCGGCAGGCCGAGCTTGATGCGGACGTCAAGGCGCGGCGCGGCCTGGCCACTAGGTGGGGGCCTGGGCGCCTGGGGGCCTGGGGGCCTGGGGCACATGGGCTGGTGTGTGGAGTTGGGCGAACACTGGCGGGACCTGTGTGGTGGGCCTGTGTGTCGGGGGATGTCGTTCGTGTGAGTGTGTGAGCATGTACGTGAGCATGTTTGTTTGTTTGTGTACGGTATGTGTGTGTTGCACACGTGAGTGAGACAGAGTGTGTGGCAGTGGAGCCAAGGTTGCCCCGGCATGGTGTATTATACGTGGCGCCAAGGCCAGCGGGCTCGGAACGGCGCAGGGTCCATCACAACCATAAGCCAAGCCCGCCATCAGCAGCACCCCAGGCGCTGGGGACAAGCACTCGCCGAGGCTCGACAGCTCCCCCCCGTCCCACCCGCGGCCGCCATGCTCACTGCCAACGGCGCCTGCCGCTGCCGCATACAACTGGTTTGTCATGGGCACTGCAAGCTCGTTCTCTTCGTGCTCACCGTGTATGGCACATGTGATCCCTCACCCGCCGCAGGCTGGTCGAGGCGTTCGGCAGCACGCGGCGCCGGCGGCAGCTCAAGTCGCGGGAGGAGGGCGCGGTGCGCGCGGACAAGCTGCTGTCGGCCGACGCCGCAGAGGCAGCGCTGGTGGCGGTCAACAGGCGGGCGGCGGAGGAGGGCGGCACGCGCGACGAGGTGCGC